TTGTTCGAAATTGAGCTTGTAATTCGAACTATAGTTTCGCGAGTCAAATCTAGCGCGGCGCAGCCTATGTCTCGGCGCAGCCTCTCACGCACCAATGAGTGAAGTCTGCGATAAGAAATCGTAAGCGCTAGCATAACCAACCAGCGCATCAAGTGCCGATGTACCGGACCAATCGAGGGGCGCCAACTCGGCGGTCACCTCAAAAGGAATAACAAAATAAAAAGCGATCTAGAAATTTCTTTTGTGAGATAATATTCATATTAATTTCCGCCGGTAAACCGATCGAAGTTTCCAGACCGCTTTCTAACTATAAACCACCGTCTTTTTCGAATGCGGCACGTAGTCTTGAAAAAGTTGGAGTCAACTCAGCGTCGTTGCGTTTCTGAAAGTACGGGAAGTAGCCAATGCGTTATTTTCGTAAGTGTCGTCTAGAAAAGTTAAAGTTAATTAAATTCGCGTCTTTATTGTATCTTGCAGTAATTGTTAATTTCAATTTGTTAAGAAATAAAAGGTGACTTCTGTTAAACTTATCGCGTCGATTATTAGTGCTGTTTTTATTCCCGTTCTTTCCTCTTGAAATCGGAAACCTTTCCGAACATTTCTGGTCCTTTGAGCCGGATTTCTTACCCGGCGCGCGTACAGCCACATTACGAGGTAATCCTTGCGAGTAAGCTGGATACGGAGTGTAGTGAAGTTACCTGTGTAGTTACCTGTGAAGAAGTACAATATGAGTATGGATCATGAAGCTCTCATACGACGACAAGTCGAATTGCAATCTCGCATCGCGAGGACGATCGACAATCTCAAAAAAAGCGGTATGGCCAACATTACGATCGATGCAATCGATAATCGCCTGTTACGGCTAGACAGTTGCTGGGCTAAGTTCGAGCAGCAGCACGACGAATTGAGCTCCAAGTACTGGGACCTCCTACAAGCTCACGATTATTGGAACAACGACTTTGTCAGTCAGGTCGAGGAGACATACCTGCAACAGCGTATTCAGCTCATGACGATGAGGCGATCCTTGTCCGCGGCTGAGAATCCCGGCAGTTCCAGTCAAGTCGAGGTGAGATCGTCCGTGCCGCTAGCTACTTCACGTTCACGCACTACACTACCACGCATCCAACTGCCGCGCTTCTCCGGCAAGTACGAGGATTGGCCAGCATTCCGAGGTCTTTTCCTGTCCATTGTGCACGGCGATCCATCCACGACAGATATGGAAAAGCTGCACTATCTTGTCTGGAGAAGGAGGCCGCTAGATTAATCAAGAATTTGCCAACCACCGCTGAGAATTACACACGAGCATGGACCGCGCTCCAAGAATACTACGAGAATAAGCGTCTGTTAGTGCGATCCTGCATAGCTAATTTCTCAGCGCTGCAAAAAATGAAAAATGAGTCGGCCGCCGAATTACGTAAAATATTCCATTGTGTGACCGATGTTCATGGCACGCTGGAGAGTGTTGGGCGTCCGGTTTCGAGCAGTGAGGACTTCTTCGTTCATTTCATAGTGGAACTTATGGATTCCCGGTCGCGGCGCGAATGGGAAACTTCCCTTAGCGGTACCGCGGAGCCGCCATCTTACTCCACCTTGAGGACCTTTCTAGAACAGAGGCTGCGGATATTGGAGGCTGTACACCCTGGAAAATCGGACAGCGGATCCGGTAAGCTCAATGCTGAGAAGGGCAAGCCAGCGCATACACACCATGCCAAGAAGCCGGAAACTAGGAAGTGTCGCTGCTCACTGTGCCAAGCGGAGCACTCCTTGATGCTGTGTGAGGTCTTCAAAGGGAAGTCGCCCTCGGAGAGGGTGCAGCACGTGCGAGAGAGCCATCTCTGTAACAACTGTCTCGGCCAGCACAAGGTTAGTGATTGTCCATCGAAGAGATCGTGTGCCGCTTGCGGAGAGCGGCATCATTCCATGTTGCATGACGCTCATCGCGATTGTGAGGGTGCCACGACGTCACTCGTGGCAAGCCAGTCGCCCAGTGGGCCAACCGTTCTCCTCGCTACGGCCGTGATCCGCGTGGTTGATAGGTTCGGCGTCCGGCACACCGCGCGAGCTCTCATCGACCAAGGCTCTGAAACGTCGCTCAGAAGCTGAAATTGATGCGCTCTCGTGCCTCCATTGCTATCTTCGGAGTTGGCGGTCAGCAGACGGCGATCGCCCGCGGCCGAGTTTCTCTCGAGTTTACATCCAGGATGGACGGACCTTCGATGATGACGTCCGCGCTAATCTTGCCTCGCCTCACTATTTACGCGGGCGGCGGTGGGATGAGTGCTCGTGACTGGCCGCACCTGCGCGGATTGGAGCTGGCCGATCCGGATTTCCTCGCGACGGACCCGATTGAGATACTCCTCGGCGCCGACGTGCATGCGGTTATTATCCGCGACGGTATAAAGAGAGGCCGTCCTTGCGAGCCTGTGGGGCAGAACACAGCGTTAGGATGGATAATCTCAGGAGCAGCCGATGCTCATATTAAAAGTCAGTACGTACATACGCATCAGTGCACTATAGGTGATGATCTTTCGATGATGGTCAGACGTTTCTGGGAGCAGGAAGAACTCCCTGTTACCGCTGCTCCATTGACGCCGGAAGAGCGGGAGTGTGAGGACCTCTTCAATCGCACGCACATCCGACTGCCTGACGGGCGGTATATGGTTCGCCTTCCAGTCACTGGACTACTTCCTGACTTCTCCAATTCACGGCAGACGGCAGCCCGGGTGCTGGCGCATGTTGAACGGCGGCTCGAGCGAGACTCGACAACGCGCACTCTTTATTGCGACTTCATGCGCCAATACGAGGACCTGGGACACATGTCAATGGCAGAGGCTCCGACTAGTCGCACTTCAAGGCGAACTTGTTATCTACCGCACCACGACGTGTTGCGGGCAGAAAGCTCATCCACCAAACTAAGAGTCGTATTCAACGGCTCGTCAACTATTGCCTCTGGTCAGTCGTTGAACGATTACCTCTATCCAGGACCGAATTTACTGCCTTCGCTGGCTGACGTCCTTCTCCGATGGCGTCTGCACAAGTACGTCCTTGCCGCAGACGTTGAGAAGATGTTCCGACAGATTCAAGTCCACCCCGAGGATCGCGATCTGCAACGTATCTTGTGGCGTCATGATGAGGCCGATAAAATTAGGGATTATCAGCTCAATACAGTTACTTACGGTCTGGCGTGCGCCCCTTTCCTAGCTATGCGAACGTTGCGGCAGCTGGCCGACGACGAGGAGAATCATCAACCATTGGGAGCTGCCATCTTGCGCCGAGATGTCTACATGGATGACATCCTCACTGGCGCCGCCAACTACCAGGAGGCGAAAGAGATCCAGCGGCAGCTTTCACTTCTCTGCTCGGCGGGCGGGTTCCCTCTCAAGAAGTGGTCAGCCAACAACATCTACCTGCTGGAGTACGTCCCAAAGGAGGATAGGCTGCAGAGAGACTCCCTCTCCTGGCTTCTTCCAGAGAGCCATTCGACGCTCGGGTTGCGGTGGCACCCTTCTCGCGACCACTTTTCAGTCGTTTGCAGGGCTGTTTCGGACTCGACTCCTACCAAGCGATCTGTCTTGTCTCAAGCAGCTCAACTGTTCGATCCGCTTGGATGGCTAGCCCGGATGGGCGAAGATCCTCATCCAGACCACGTGGCTTCAAGGACTCGAGTGGGATGATCCGTTGACAGATGCAGAGGCTAAACTCTGGCGAGCTTTCCAGGAGGAGCTCCCTCTTCTAAGTCAAATACACGTGCCTCGATGGCTGCAGAATGAATCTTCCCACGATGGCCAGGAGATTCACGAATTCTGCGATGCTTCGGAGCACGCTTACGCGGCTGTAGTGTATCTGCGCACGTTAACACCGGAGAAGGTGGCAATCTCATTAGTGATGGCAAAAACCAAGGTGGCTCCCTTGAAGCAGGTGTCCTTGCCTCGTCTGGAACTCTCTGGTGCGGCATTGCTCGCTCGACTTGTTTGCCATGTACAGTCGGTGCTTGGGCTGCACAATGTTCCTACCTATCTTTGGACAGATTCCACAGTGACACTGGGCTGGATTCATGGACATCCGTCACGCTGGAAGACGTACGTCGCTAATCGCGTTGCCGAGATCCAGAGAATGGTGCCTGACGCCCATTGGCGTCACTTGCCAGATCGTGAAAACCCTGCTGATTGCGCCTCTCGGGGAATACTCCCGAGCGACCTGGTTTATCATCCGCTGTGGTGGCGGGGCCCTCCATGGCTTTCTTCAGATCACGAGTCATGGCCTTCCTCAGTTCAACCCGTCGAGCGAGACTTGCCAGAGACTCGCGTCAAGTGCAATGTTCTGAAGCTGCCTGACGAGGCGCCGCTGCTAACTCGTTTCTCAACCTTGAACCGGCTAGTGCGAGTGGTGGCCTGGTGCCGTCGCTGGTTGCGAGTCATCCGTCTGCTTCCGGACGAAACTCCTGGGAGGGACCGGTTGCTATCGGTGAAGGAGATGGACGAGGCCCGTCACGCCCTAATCCATTTAACGCAGGTTACCTGGTGGAGGAAAGAAATTGACAACATTAAAGAAAATCAACCGCTACCCAGAGGGTGCGTACTCACCAAATTAAGCCCCTTTGTGGATGAGCTGGAAGTGCTTCGGGTCGGGGGACGTATCAAGTACGCACTGCTGGCCTATGACGAGAAACATCCAATGATTCTTCCGAGCGAGTCTCATTTCGCCAAACTCGTCATCGAAGCTTGTCATCGAGGTACTCTTCATGGTGGAGTTCAGGCCACGCTGGGATTGATACGGCAGCATTATTGGATTCCTCGCGGCAGGGCTCTAGTCAAGAGCCTCATTCACCGTTGCGTACCTTGCTTGCGATGGCGGGCGGCGCCCTCTCTTCAAATCATGGGGGATCTACCGAGACAAAGAGTTACTCCAGCACGCCCTTTCTTGAACACGGGCGTCGACTACGCTGGTCCTGTGATGCTGCGGACGACCAAGGGACGAGGACAGAAGGCGTACAAGGCCTTCGTGGCTGTGTTCGTTTGCATGAGCTCTCGGGCTGTGCACCTTGAAATTGTTTCAGATTACAGTTCCGAAGCTTTCTTGGCTGCCTTACGACGCTTTGTGTCGAGACGCGGCTTGTGTCACACCATCTACAGCGACTACGGCACTAATTTTGTAGGAGTTGACAGATAGCTTAGAGCTATGTTTGCACCCAGCAGCTTAGAAGGAAAATCGCCGATGGCCTCGCGTCCCTCAAGATACAGTGGCGCTTCAACCCTCCCGCTGCGCCTCACTTTGGAGGCTTATGGGAGGTCGCCGTGAAATCCATGAAGCATCACTTGCGGCGAGTGTTGGGAGAATCTACGCTGACTTACGAGGAGATGGCTACCCTTCTTGCGCAGATTGAGGTATGCCTTAACTCAAGGCCACTCCAGGCGTTAACGGACGACCCGGAGGATCTTGCTGCGTTGACGCCAGGCCACTTTCTTATCGGGTCAGCTATCAACGCCGTGCCGGAGCAGTCTCTTTTGGAGGTTCCTATGAATCGTCTGGGGAGATGGCAGTTGATACAGAGAATGCGGGATCAGCTATGGGACAGATGGTCCAAGGAGTACTTACATGCTCTCAATCACAGACCTAAGTGGTGGAACAGCAACGCTTCATTCCAAGTAGGACGCTTGTGCTTGCTGCGTAACGAGGCTGCACCGCCGACGAGATGGCCGCTAGCTCGGATCGTTAGGATCCACCCAGGAGACGACGGGAACATCAGGGTAGTAACTGTACGCACCGCCACATCTGAATTAGTGCGTCCAGTGGCGAAGCTCGTGCTCCTCCCCGTTAGCGATATCCGCGAAAGCGACAAGGCGGAAGCAAATGCGGAACCATGATGTCGACGGGTGATTCATCATAAGTATATAAGAAAGTTTATTGTATTAGTCTATTGTACATCTTTCGGTAAGATTATGTATCCTAACCTCTTACCTGTCGACTTTTCAATCTTCACAAAAAAAAAAAATTGCTTCATGTTCACCTACCTCTAGACGCACAAGTAGAGCTCACCTCTTGTCTGCGAAAGCGCACTATTATTGATCTTCGATCAATTCACGTATTTTTCCTTCCATTCATCACTTAATTCACTCACTGTTGTCACGTCGCCGTGTGTACAATGCATTCGAATTCTCTATCACTTCACTGTCATTTAGTAATTTACTGCGTGGTTCGTCGCGTTATCGCGTTGTCGCGCCACCTCGATTAATCGCGATGCGCGTCGTCACTAATTGTGAGTCCGTGTTAAATCTCAATGAGAATTATTCTGATTATTCAAGAGTTATGCCTTACTGAAAGATTGATGTAAGCGATGTATAAAAATTGTTAGTAATTATTGGTAGCGCTCATATCGTTGGTGCACCAACGAGGCGGGCGGAATGTTCGAAATTGAGCTTGTAATTCGAACTATAGTTTCGCGAGTCAAATCTAGCACGGCGCAGCCTATATCTCGGCGCAGCCTCTCACGCACCAATGAGTGAAGTCTGCGATAAGAAAGCGTAAGCGCTAGCATAACCAACCAGCGCATCAAGTGCCGATGTACCGGACCAATCGAGGGGCGCCAACTCGGCGGTCACCTCAAAAGGAATAACAAAATAAAAAGCGATCTAGAAATTTCTTTTGTGAGATAATATTCATATTAATTTCCGCCGGTAAACCGATCGAAGTTTCCAGACCGCTTTCTAACTATAAACCACCGTCTTTTTCGAATGCGGCACGTAGTCTTAAAAAAGTTGGAGTCAACTCAGCGTCGTTGCGTTTCTGAAAGTGCGGGAAGTAGCCAATGCGTTATTTTCGTAAGTGTCGTCTAGAAAAGTTAAAGTCAATTAAATTCGCGTCTTTATTGTAACTTGCAGTAATTGTTAATTTCAATTTATTAAGAAATAAAAAGTGACTTCTGTTAAACTTATCGCGTCGATTATTAGTGCTGTTCGTATTCCCGTTCTTTCCTCTTGAAA